GATTTGTATATAACGAGATCCTCACAGATCCCAACAGTTGGCCAGGTCTCGGGAGGCCGGAATGTGGGGGAAGGGGGGTGCTGCTGATCGATGCTCCTCTGGCTGTAGGCTGACTTTCTCTTCTTGGAGTTGTCTGGAGCCTCGGATTTTAGCTTCAGCTAGGTAATTTCTGGAGCTGATTTTTAGACAGATCTTCAGCTCTGTGGGAGTTTGTTCGTGATTCTGATGGTGCCTTGTGCTGGGATTGTTGTTTCTTATGTGGGAAGGGTTTTGTTTGTTGGTAGTTTAGGTCTCTTTGTCTTAGTTTGTTCTCTTTGTGTTTATGTTTGTGTTACTTAGGTTTGTGTTTTTGGTTTGGTCCGTTAGCCTCGGTGTGCCCGAGTGTGAACTTATTATCATATTGGTATTGTACACTCGGTCATCATCCTGTTGATCATTTTTAGTAATTTTCGTTTTGTTTATGTAGTTGTTTTAGTGTAACGCTAGGTCAGGATTTAGGCGATTTTCGCATCTGTCTCCCAGTCTTTTCAGCCTTTGATTGTACTATTCAGTTTTTGGTTGTTTTCTCCTCGTACTTTGTGCGATTTTTATTTATATATTATCTTTATCGTTTCGAAAAAAATTAACGCATAAATAATAATAATAATAATAATAATAATAATAATAATAATAATAATAATAATAATAATAATAATTTCCAGTCAATTAGTTGGTCATGATATGCCAATATAATTAAAATTATATTATTTGTTACAATATATGTCGTGAATATAGTGATTCGTAAGTATGTTATGCAATTTATGTTCAGATTGTTCATTTTTACTCATTGATATGCACACTATTTAACTTATAACTTTAAAAATAATTTATAGTATTTTATTTACATCTTTGCATGTATAAATTTGAACAATTAGATTCAAATATGACTCGAAAAAAGAAAAATAAATAAATAATAAAAGGGAAAAGCGGAAAAACAATCTTCTTGCGTTTTCTTACGTTTTCATTTTTCAAACGAAACAAAACGGACACACATACAAATTCCAAACTCCAAAATCATTTTCGAAAATTCAAAAATACGGGCCCACGGGGACCTCCAACGACACAAAACGCTCAAATTCTTCAAGAGAAGCACAAAAGCGCTAAAGAAAAGAAAAAAAAGATGTGATGATTTTAATTTCACAATCGTTTCACTCCCGCCCAAAATCATTTGAAGAACAAGCGTTACAGATTTTGCGCTTCATCTTCTAGGGTTATTGTCGCAATCTTTATATGCTCCCATTGCAGAAGAAATTTTGGCGAATTTCCAACAATTTCGGATAGAAGATCGCCACTGCATCACCGGCTGTGCTTCAATTCAGGTTTTTGTTTGCGTACAAGATGCTCATTTTTCAATGTCTCTTGCTTGAACGTTAAAAATGGATTGTGGAAAAATCAAGGGGAAAGTGGTACTCAGATGTTGTTCACTTCTTGAAGATCCACGCCCGCAATCGATGGGGCGTGCCGGAATATTTTGTTGTTGGGCTGATCGGTTGAAGTGTGTGCGCCGGAATTTTTGTTTTTCGAGTTGAATTTTTTGGGAAATTGATTAGGTTTAGACATATTTTGTTTGTGAGTATCTTGTTTGACTAACGGCGACACATTTTCTTCATGTTTTTTGCATGAAGATTGATGAATAGTACAGGTCGAAGGTGACAGGGTAAACAGACTAATAATTCTGGACTGGTTATGGTGATCAATGCTTTATGACAGTCATTCTTATATGTTTTAGTTAAGGAAGATGTTGTTTTCATGCTTTTTTTTTCCCCACGTATTATATTCTGTCATGTAATGTTGGTGTTTGTGATGGATATTTTCCCAGTTTAGTATATATTCGATTCTCCTCAATCTTTGTTCTTGGCATTTGATGTTTTGCGTATTTCCGTCAATACTGGACAGAAGGCTTCGAATAACTGGAACACAAATCGGCGTTAGAAATGGGAACAACTTGTGGATCTCTTCTATTTGAGCTACAGGTTACCTTTGATTATAGTTTTTAAGTACCTCATGTGTAAAATGAATACATAGTTGTTTTTGGTCTTTGTGTACTTAAATTTTTCATTCCCCATCACAATTCTTACTTGCACCAGAAAATATGGGATGAAATTGGGGAAGCTGATAACGAAAGGGACAAAATGCTTTTTGAACTTGAGCAAGAGTGTTTGGATGCTTATAGAAAGAAAGTGGATCACGCGAGCCGTTCACGGGCCCAGCTAAGACAAGCGGTTGCTGACGCCGAAGCGCAGCTTGCAGATATCTCTTCTGTAATGGGAGATCGACCAGTTCATGTAAATAAGGTAAAGAGATAAACCTGAAAAAAAAAAAAAAAA